TAAAACACAGCGTCTACATGGGGATTGGCATCTGCTGATGTGTATTCTCGCCGCTGATGTGTAATTCCTGGTAACGCGTCCACACTGGGGTGATGTGTATTCTCGCGGACTGATGTGAGATAAACCCGACGCTTGTAAGTCGCATCATGTCTTTTGGATCCCACCCCACAATGGAGGCACCCGCGGGGGTCGCATCACCGAGTGTCTACGGTGCCACAGCCAAGCGGACTTGAGCAGCCGTAGCTCGCAGGTGCATTGGGACCGCGTGTGTACTGTTCGCAAAAAGTGTGCGCGAAAAAAATCGCGTCATTTTTTCTTGCATCCCACCCCAAACTGGGGCGAAACACCGAGTGTCTACAGTGACACACCTAGATCGCATCATAGATGGCAGATGGCAGCCTGTCTCCTTCTTATATGAGCTGTTTGTACGGAGGGGGTTTCGGTCAGTCTGATTCCCGCCGAACAGACATACAGGCTTGAATAGGTTTTGCAAACAAATATACAGAGCTGAACAGGTTTTCTAAGGAACTACGGTGTCGAATAGGTTTGTAGAGATATACACTAAATACAGGTCTCAGTAAGTCTTTTAAAGAGATACAGGGTTGAATAAGTTTTCAGAGCAAAAGCGGGTTGAATACAGTAGGTCTTTTACGAAGTTACATTCTTTGGTGCTGTGCCGCCGTACCTTGATTTGCACATGCTTTGTGTCGACGTGCCCCGGCGCATTCTGCAACAACTGACAGTAGTTTTTTCCATAAACACAGTCAAAGACACGCAATGCATGATCAACGCCACAGCCGGGTCGAAATCCCGTTTGCTGGCGTGCTTGTTCTTGGCCCAGAAGGTGGGATCCTACAATTGTCGTATTCGTATCGGTGGGGGGGGGGGGGGGGGGTGTGAAAATTGTAATCTACAGTGTCTGCCCCCCCCTGAGCACGGAGTGATATGACTACATTCTTTGCTCACGGAACATTTCCGCTCGACACGCTTATGCGTCAGATGATTTAGATTTGGGTTCCGACCACGGGTCGGTGGTTTCAAAATTTCACCGACGGAACTTGCATCAGAAGGCGGTGAAAACGGGTGGCAAACTTCATTATCTGCAATACGATTAAAGTCCCGATCACATTGCTCGTTACCAAAAATCTTCGGCGAACAGTGTTAGCCACAGATGTTGCTGATACCGAATCAGGCATCGTGATGTGCGCTCAGGCTGCATGTGAAAGTCTTCGCGAAAACAGCCAAGTCAAGATTGAGCGCAGCAGACTGTCCAAGCCCATTATTACGGAGTTGCGACGCGAGATGTCCTTCCAGCGAAATGCCCAGTACTGGGGAGGCATGGCTGGCAGTTTTCCATTTGGCACTACAGCTTCGTATGGTCACGGAGACCGAGGCGTCGAGCCACCTTTACCCGCCCGGCACATGCCGACGTCGACGGACTTGTGCCGGAGCCGCATGAGATCCTCGCTGATGCCTGCTGGGACTCGCCCTGGCAGTGGCCGCGGTCGCGCCTGCCCCTGCTGTGGACAATCGGTGCCGACGCAAACCTCATTTGGCTGTCGTCAGAATGCGTGCGAAACAAAAGCTTTCCAAAAGAGCCTCTGCATCCTAGCCCTGTAGCAAGTTGCTAAGAGCGCCGGACGGGCGTGCAGCAGTAGAATCGAACAGTCGCACAACCACAAATCCAGCACTAGCACGGTATTGCTATGGAGTTTAATGGTGCGGCACAGTAGTGGCACAACAAGTAGTATTGCGGCACACCATAGCGGTACAATAGGAAAACATGGCACCATAGCATACAGTAGCTGATACCACCACCTCGCTTGCCCTCGCACGGGCCGCTGCCCCGGCTCGGATTCGTGGTCGAGCGGGCGTGGATGTACCGGCACAGTCATCGGGTGTAGGGATATGTTTGTTTTTTTTTTTGGTGTTTGGGTCCCTTAATTAAATCTCAAAACCCACCGGAAATTCGTTCGGGGTGTTCCTGGCAGGTGGCCCCCCGCATCAGCCAAACCGGCTAGGGCACGGACCACGACCGCACACTCGTAGATGTAAGCAGCGACGGCCAAGACTTTCAAGTTAACCACATAAAACAGAGAACTTTATTTTTTGAAGACGTTTGCGTTCAAGTTACACCCCCCTAGTTTTAATAAAATCCGGGCGATATTTTCACCCGCATTGTAGATAGAGGACCGCCAAAAATGCCGAATCCGGACTAAGGCAGAACCGAAACGGCGCCCGAAGAATCGCTGTGGAATGCTATGGGCAGTCTAGGTCGTCCGAATGCCATCGGCTGACGGGACACATTTACCATCTTTTTTTTTCGCTTGTTTCTGTGACGTTGAACAATCGGGTGCGGTTTTGGTTCTTCAAGTAATTAGCCTTCTTTATGAATTCCTGCTGAAGGCGAGGGGGTCAACCCTGAGGCCCTATAATTGTGATATTGTGCGTGGGATGTTCGCGCACATTTTTTCGTCCGCACTCCGGAGTCCGGCAAGCTGTCCTATAATATGTGTGGGACCTATGAGAAAGTCGGTTGCGCCCTGCGGCAGCCTTATGCCGGGGTGCCAGCACGCTTCAGGCAAGACTTCGTAAACCTCGTGCGCCGATCCCCAGACACGGCACTCCCTGGCGAAAAGCAATTCGAGGAGAGAAGGTAGGCTCGCCGTGCGGCTACGGCCAGAAGGCCGGCCCAGCGAGCGACCCAACTTGACTGCCCCGTAGGGCGGAGACCCACCGGCGCGCCACTAATTTCACTTGGTAGTTTGCTTAAGTTTGCTTGCACTTTAAGTTTGTCGTTTTGGGATCACGTCGCCTTCTTCGCCACGATGAGATTGAGGAGATAAAATGTGAGAAGCGAATGTTGGATGTACCTTGACTGGCGGTTGAGCTGGGGCTGTAATTTATGTTTACCAAGAAACCCGTTAAGAACAAGAGCTGCAACCGACATCGGCCGCCAACAGACAAGATCCAATTTCATGATCAGGCGTGTGCTTCATTCTGGGTTATATTACGTCTGATGTGCCTTTCAATCACTCCCCCATCTTGACGGGCCATTGCCAAGATTCGCGATTACACGGTCAACCTTGTTTCTGATTCCGTTTATATTTGGTCGGTTCACGCTGGCTTCTCTTATATAGGATTATCAAGACCTAGCGCATGAATTTAATAAGAGAAATCAACGAAATTAACTTTTTTCCGAAGGCACAACAGTGGCACGCTACTTGGCAAGCAGGGCGCACTGTTCCCGCCCCACACGGCGACCGCCGATGACAACCAAACTACCAAGCAGCAGCGCCGTCCTCGTGCAAAGCATTCGGAGTACGTCTGCGCATGTTTGCACCTTTGTTTTGAGTTGAGTTTCATGTTTTTGTACTTTTTCACTTTGTTCCTCCGTTGCCGCATCACATGTACTTTTCCAGTCGTGCGTAGTCGTGCATGACACTCAATTAATGTGCAAGCCTTGCGCAGGTCATCGTGGGATCCACTTGAGCGCGCAAACCAGAGATCCGGCTAAGCTATATTTGCTTCGAAATGTTGAATATTAAACCCTTGGGTCTGCGTGTGGCCATTCAAGGGCTTGACTTTGACGAACCGAAAGCAAGTAGAGGCTTTTGGCAGCCCAGTTTCGCACTCACTTTGCATGCGATGAAGGCTATTATGACGGGCGGATGCACATGCGATATGGATTGCTGATCACGCATGCCGTGGGAGCCCGTGTTAGCGTAGCTTACTAAGCGCACCAGCTGCATTGTGCTGACATGTCATTGTCGCATGCTGAATTGTGAAGCTGCGTGCTTGACATTTGATTAAATTTGACTGCATGTCCGTGCATACTGTGCTCGCCCAAGACTTGTTCCGAGGGTGCATTTGAGCCTGAACTATTGCTTTACCTACCGCGTGCTCGCCATGTCGATGTTGGACCCAGCTGTTGTGTCAGCCTTCCTGGCAGAAAGCTTGGCGACAGATCGGCAGGGTGGTCGTTTGCTGAAGAAGATCGGCAGCAATGGCCACTGCGGTACACAAGGAACAGCCGAAAGGATCCGTCGAGTCTATGCCATGCCCGCAGATTTGCCACCAGTCTGTCGGACTCCTGACTCGACCGGCAGCAGACCCGACCGGCAAATTCCCCTTGTACCACGCAGCAGCAGTGGGCAAGCACAACTGGTGAAGTCCAGCAGTACGCCCACATTGAAGTATCAGCCTTTCGATCCTGCGCGAACAGGAACGAACCTCAAACACAACCGGCACTTCGATGTGCCATTCCCACAGTTGCTGTTTCAGCACAGAGTGTTCCAGCGTGACTGAAGAGCACGAGATGTGGCATTCGGAGGTGTGGGTGCTATGGGCAGCTGTTTGAAAACACCCTGCCCAGCACAGCCGAGCAGCATTTCAATCAGTTTTGTTCGTGACCAGGAACGGCTTCTGCCAAGCAGGTGCCTTCTGCACGAAGCGTGATTTATTCGGTGCCCGTGAAAGCGTGGAACCATCTTGTGATGCTGTCGCTGGCCAGCCGATACCTGAGTTGCCCTGATGGCGGGCGCTGGCTTGGCTGGTTGCGCCAGAATGCTTTGCACAGTAGCTATCGGGACGTGCAAGCAGCCGTTAAAAGTGTTCAGGGCAGGTTTGCTGTCATAGTGTACCTAAATCAGAAGTCTATCGACTCTCACTGCAGCTTTGCTGGCTTTCTGCAGCCAGTAGCTTATGAGAGCTATCGGACACTGAATGTGTTTCGAAATGGTGTCGAATGACGCCGAGGCTGGGTGTTTCAAGAGTCGGCGGTGCGAGCATCGTTCCCATTGTGCAGGCTAGTCTCTGTGACCACGGCGCCCAGATTCCCAGACCGGCAGCTGCCAAGGGGAAAGGAAGCATAAGCATTCACCATACGCTGATTTCGCAAAGTAGGAACAGGATGTGGCCTTCGCTGCTGATTGCCCAAAGCCTTCTGATCATTCCCAGGAGGATGCCTTTGCTTAAAAATGCTTTGTGGCTTGTTCCGCATCGTCCTCATCACGCATGCGGCTTCTCTGGCTGGAGCTTTCCCGATGCAGCTTGGCTTTTCGTCAGCTTTACACGATTCAGCGGTTGTTGTTCAGCTGTTGTCGAGCTCTGACGAGGCATTTTCAGTCTGAGATGCGACGTAGTTACTGCGTCAGCCCTATGACATCTATGATGTTGTGTGAAGCTATGCTTCTGGTCGCAAGTCGATTTGATCGTTGAGGCGGCGTCTTACCGAGCTTGGTGCACGGAGTTCTGGATCCCCAGTGCCCTTGCTGGGTGATGGTTCTCCGGTGGCTCGGTCTGTGCTGATGCCGTGTATAGTTGCAGGGAGAACCTGACATTGGAAGCAAACTTTCGAGGCAATCTGCGCAGCACGTGAGTGTTCGATTGGCTGTCTTTGTGCAGAGCCAGCAAGCTGGTAGGAGAGAGGGAACTCCTGAGGTTGATTGGTGGTTTGCATTCAAGCCCACCGCGGCGGTGCGGCTGCAGTGTTGGCCGTGGCTCATGACATGTTGTGATTCAGTTTCGGTTGGCGTCCATATGAGTCAGCGCGCCTGATCTTAGGAAGCATTTCCCAATTGCTCCTCTCAGCTCACATGCGAATTCGGTGGTGACAAATCAGCTTTCAAGAGCTGGAGCTTGCAATATGTCCTCGCTTCGAGCAAGAGCGGAAGGACCACAGCCATGAGCCTTCACTCGGACTGCTTGGGAAATGGAGCTGACCCTGTGTCAAGGACCTTCGCTCAGGCAGACAGCGCGGCAATAATAAGAGCAAGGGAGTGGTTCTCGTAGGTCTGCTGGCGTTCCATGAAGGTATGCTTGCGCCTTGCGAGGTTTATTCCGGTATCGCAGCGAACTACGTCATTTGGAATGACCAATTCTATGGTGACCCGCTGCTGAACGTAAAGCCGAAGTGCGGCAGAGTCTGCCCTGCTCCTTGGGGACACAGCGACTTGGCAGGAATACACAGTTACAAGAGATTTGGTTGAAACTGTCGTTTAATTCGAAAACGTGGCTCGCTACGTGGCAGCTAGTGACATCAGCATTTGTTATCGCAGTTCTGACCATACTCTTCGCCGGCATCAAGCTTGCATCTTTGCCCGCCCACCAGGACCAATGCAATTCCCCTTGCTCTGCTCTGGAAGAGTCGATAAGGCCCTAAACCCTAAACCCAGTGTTCGCAGTTCTCTGCAAGGCTCGCAGATCCGAACGTATCCTGCAATGCGAGCTTCGTCCTTGCTGGGTAGGGGGGAAAAAACCTTGAACCCTGAACCCTAATACATACAACAGCTACTGGTGGCCCTGAGTCGACCGCCAACTGAGGCAAGGGAGTAATGGCCTGGGGTGAAGACGGAACAGGCTTTGTCATGCAGGTGTCCACGCCAGACTGGCCAGGCGCGAGAAGTCCACACCGCGGATTACAAGTACGGTAGCTATTCGCTAGCTCTTTACATCTCATTTGTGTCTTAGGCTCTGGCTCCAAGTCCAAGACCCGGAAGCAAGGCAACACGCTTGGATGCTGCCAGGCTTTGGGCGGGCCTTTGTTTGCCATGTTTAGCTCTCTTCCTTCCCTTCCTCGCTCTCTCTCTCTCTCTCTCTGTCTGTCTCTCCTTCTTTCTCTGTGCATGTGTGTTTGTGTGGCTGAGTGGGTGGGTGGCTGGCGGGAATGTTCTGCATGCGCTCATTTTCCATCATGTGCGCAGGCTGACAACATCAGGGTGGCGCAGCACTTCTTCGCTTTGCGCCTCGCCACGAGCTATGACACCCATTTGGTTCTCCAGGCGTTGCAGCGAGCTTCTGTGGCCACAGACCCCAGCAACAATCAGTTGGTGAAGCTGAGCAGTGGACCGGCTGATCTAGCGAGCTTGGCCAAGCAACTTGGGGTTGTGCAGCAGGTCGCGGAGCCGTTCTTGGCAACGCTGAGTGTGAAGACGGCAAGGAGTCAGATCCGCCTTCTTGGTAAACCCTCGGGGCTGCACGTGCCACCTTGGCACATGGTATCGTCCCTCCTAGGCGGCCAACCGCTGCGCACTGCCACCTGGTGGGACAGACCGGAGATCAACTCCACAAGAGCCGGATTTGTTCCAGGATGCTGGAGCTCGCACTTCAAGTCTGCGCCCGGTGAAGTGCAGGTGGCCTTGACCGGACAGTGGAATGGCGAGAAGTTCAGCCTCCGTGGCAACCCGAGTTCTAATTCCAATCATGCCAAGTTGGGGGTCAGCCTCTCTGGAACGAAGCTGGCAGTCCTGGGCGACATGAACGAGCAGGGAAGCCTGGGCATGCCTGGTGATGCCAGGGGTTCCAAAAAGATGGGTCAATCAAAAAAGGTCCTGCTTATAGGGCCTACGCCCCAAACTTGCTTTAACTTCCAGGAGCCCTGCTCCGCTTCCCAGAACGGCCGGGGCGGCCTTTTCTTTGTCGTGGAGGACGATCAGCTCCACACCGGGCTCTCAGCGCTCATGCGTGGCGAGACAGCTGCCGGGCTTCAAGATGAGCCAGGATCTGCATACTATATGGTTATACAGATTATATAGATTATATAGGATGGTATACAATATTGCATATATAAGCTTCTGTAGGCAGGGGTGCTTGCTCTTGCACGTCAATGCAGGCATTGGCTGGCCTCAGTCTCTAGCACTCGAGTACGTAATTGTTGCAGTCTTTGGCAGGCTGACTACGTCGGGGGGCAGCTCAGTTGCACGTGGCCTGCTTTCGGGTTCCTGCTCCTGAAGCATGGAAGCTTCGAAAGGCTGAAACCATAAGAAATGCGTGGGTTAGGTGGGTGAAAATCCTCACTAACCCGAAAGACATCGAACAGCATGCCCCAATGCCATCCAAATCAGAATTTAGGTTCCAACTTTCACAAACCTCCAAGAAAATCGTGGCCTTTCAACAAGCTGCCTGCTTGCTATTGCGACAGGTTCCTTTGCTCAGCTTGTATGCCTGGATAATGCCAGTCGCAGGGAGCTGCGGCATGGCATTTGCCGGTTAGCTGCGTCAGAGAGAGCAACTCTCCTTGAGATGTGCTGGCTTTGCCCATTAGGGGTGCCTGGCCGGAGACCATCCGTCGCCGGTTTCAGCAGGTCCGCCTACACCCCTCGCCAGACAATGGGCTAGAACATGGGCCAGTGAGAGAGTCCTCTGGACGGCCCAGCATTCTATACCACCGGCTTGCAAACAGGTAAGGGTTGAGGTGCTCCTCCCCGACCTAGCGCATGCTGTCCGGTTAACTGGCGCTGTCATCGCCTGTTGACATTTCCCTTGTGGTAAGAATGCTACAATCCGGCGCTTGTCATTCCTTCAAAGAGAATGTCAGTCTTTCGCTCTCGCTTTGTGAGAGGCTATGGAGTTGCGGAGTGCCGCTCAGCAGTGCTCAAGTTCGATTGACAAAGTAAGGCAAATGCAAATGTCTCCGGACGTAGTCGTGGTTGTCTCAATCTTGTCAAGACAAGGGATGGTCTGGGTGCCGCCCAGCTGCAGTCTTCAAGGTCGGTTCACACACGTCAGAATGACTGCTGACGCCAGAACTTGTCCAGTGACTATCGACACAGCTGTCCAATGCCAGCCAGCTGTCGATGGAGTGAAACCAGGAACCAGACTTGGAACCGATTGAGTGGTATTTCCCAAGGCCATGAAACTCGTGGCTTTGCAGTGCATGAATTGAGTGCAATGGTTTCTGTTGTGAATCTAGAGGTGTGCTCAAGCCAGGTGGCTGGCTTCAGCGGGTCAACCTACACCCCTCCCCGGACAATGGCCCAAAACCTAGAACATGGGCCGGTGAGAGCGTCCGTTTGACAGCCCAGTGTTCTAGGCGAGGCAGATGGAGTTACTCCGTGGAGTTGGCAGATGCCAGTATCGTCGCCCCTTGAATTTCTGTCCCGGTTTGCGCTGCAACCCTGTGCTTGCCATGCACTCAACTATGGCGTGGCACGGTTTTGGGCCAGCCTATCCAATCAACGGGAGCGGAATGCTGAAGATGCGTGCGGTTCACAATTGAACAGCGCTGTCTTCCTGCTTGAAAATTTGACTACTACCAGTTACTGCCATGGGTGACTCTACGAACTGGCTTGCAACTGCGGGAGTCGGTGACGATCTGCGACAGCTCCTTGTACTCGGGATAAAGATGTAAATGCATGCATACATATACATATACATATACATATACATATACATATACATATACATATACATATACATATACACATACATATACATATACATATACATATACATATACATATACATATACGTATAGATAT